GGCAAACTACTGAATATGCTGAAAAGGCATTGGAGTAGTATAACAAGAAACATGTATGTATGTATGGGGGTGTTTGGAACTGATTCTGATTCTGCTTCTTTTTTAAAGCAGAAGCAGAATCAGAATCAGTTTTCAGAAGCTGGTAACCCCCAACTTCTTAAAAAACTGATTCTAGGAGTAAATTTGAGTACCAGAATCACTTTTGCACTTCCACCCAAACACTCCAGCTTCTGCTTCTCTCCCTGGAAGAGCAGAAGCAGTTTTAAGAATCAGATCCAAACACCCCCTATATCCTCCTCACAGGATGTTTTTCCATCTACTCATCCTCCTTGATTTGTTCTTCTCATGTCATGCATTTGGTGCTTGCAATATTTCGTCACTCTTGTCCATGTATAATCTGCATGCAGCGCACCAACTATGAGCTAGTAGATGCCCTCGCTAGCAGTTGCTTTCTCACCAATCGAATATGGTCCCATTGCAACTTCAGGGCCAAGCCAAAAATGACTCATAATGGGGTCGCCGATGGTTCTGTCAAGCTCTTCTTTGCCGAGTTGTATACTTCGTATTTCTTATCCTAGATCAACCTTGGAATTGAAGTCAACTACTGCTGTATCTTGAAAGGTAAAGAAACTGCTTAATAACCCCACCCCACCCTCACCCATCATGGTGTGCTTCACGTACAATATTATGTGGTCAAGCGGGAGGGCTAATCTGCCAACGATTCAGATTGTAAAAGTACAAACAAATGAAGTTTACTGTTTTCCAAATGTCCCACAGGTAAATGTAAAATTATCGACTGTTGGGCATGCGGGAGAGTCGTCTTAATCTTATTACTTATTGCTTATTTTTATTTTATTCAGATCAAATCAGATCAGATCAGAAAGATTCAGATCAGATCAGGAACATTCAGATCAGATCAGGAACATTCAAATCAGATCAGAAAAGTTCAGACATGATTTATCCTTTTTATTATTATAATAATAATAATTATAATAATATTTATAATAATTATAATAATTATAATAATTATAATTATTATTATTCTTGTTCTTGTTATTGTAATTATTATAATTAATATTATTATTGATATTATTATTATTATTAGTATTATTATTATTCCTATTATTGTTGTTGTTATTATTGTTATTATTATTATTATTATTATTATTATTATTATTATTACTATGATTACTATTGTTATTATTATTATTATTATTATTATGATATTTATTATTCTTACTACTAATATGGTTGTTGTTGTTATTGTTATTAGTTTTGTTTTCGTTATTATCATATTATACGGAGTAATTACAATTAAAATTATAGAAATAAATATTATAATTTTTATAATTATGATTATAATTATAATTATATTTAAATTATATATGTGTAATTACATTTATAATTATAGTAATTATAATTGTAATTATAATTTTAGAAATATTCAAATCAAATCAGATCAGAAAGATTCAGATCAGATCAGAAGGATTCAGATCAGATTAGGAACATTCAGATCAGATCAGGAACATTCAGATTAGATCAGGAACATTCAGATCAGAAAGATTCAGATCAGATCAGAACTTAAAAAATTCAGATCAGAAACATTCAGATCAGGTGAAGAGAACAGCTTCTAAGGATTTCGTGAGGGGCATACCAGTCATACCTATGCTTTACGTTCGTGCTCTCGGTCTGCCTCATGATAACTGTAATCCGTAACTTATGCTCTTTAATTTGGCTAAATGTCATGTTGATTAACTTTTAGACCACTTGTAGAGTTGTAGTCCAAACTCCAAAGGTATTAGAAGTCCAAAATGTTGGAAATGGACATTTTGAACCCCTATTTTCTTTTACACTGGAGGAGACGGGTGGGGGAGCTAGAAGTAGAGGCTTTTGAATAGCCAAAAAGAAAGAAAAAGTTGCCCCCACAGAAATATGTATTTTCTTTTGAGGTTTTATAACTTTGTTTTATTTGTGTTCCAATTTTTATAAATTATATTTCAAAATTCATAACTTTTTTATCAATTTTAATATGACACCAATATTGCATTTTTTAATCATTTTTAATATGACACCAATATTGCATATTTAAAGTTTAGAAAAATTGAAGTCCCAACTGCTGGAGTTTTTAGAAGAACACGGAATATAAAATCTTAATCCATAGTGCCTATAAAAATAGTTGAATTTTACTTGAGTCGTTTTATTTTTTATTAGTTGAAAATAGTCAAAAGAGAGTAGTTAGTCATTTTTTTTAAAAATTTGAAACGTGTATTTTTAAATTGGGGAAAAATGCTACTGATGGACAGTCTACCCGGGGGGTATCTTATCCGAGGGATTATTGTGGGAATAACTAGAGAGAAGTCAGAGCAAATAGGAGGAGAGAGAGTCGATTTTATTAAATGAACTCGAGATGTGGAGTTGGGATGTAGATTCTGTTTTACAAGGAGAAATGGGCTGCTATTTATAGCAGTAATAAATGCGACGAGATGACACGTGTCAGTAATCCAACGGCCGAAGGGTCATATCAACCGGTTGGCACCGGCAGTGGTACGTTCACCGCATTGATTGCGGTTGGCGGATGTGACGTGGCATTAAATGCGGTGGTTGGCTGTCTCTAAAAGGAATCTTCGATGATTGAGCTTGTTCAGCCGAAGGCTCCTTGTGTAGCCGAGGGCTCCTTGTGTAGCCGAGGGCTCCTTGTGTAGCCGAGGGCTCCTTGTGTAGCCGAGGGCTCCTTGTGTAGCCGAGGGCATGAGAATGCCGAAGGCTCATGTCTTCGCCCCCGTTTTCTCCCAGCAGCTTCTTATGCCAGAGAAGGCTATCCTGTGAGTTTTGGAGCCTTCGGCCAAGGAGGCCGAAGGCACCCAGTGTGTATTCTGGGCCACTTTGAGGCTTGGGCCGTTGTATTTGGGCCGGAGTTGTTTCCTGAGCTCAATGGACTTGTGTAGGAGAAATAGGAGTCTATGGGCCGGGGGTTCCTGGGCCATATACTCCATCAGGAGTCCCTCACTCCTTTTGCCGAAAGGTATTTGAGGGAAAAGGAGTAGATGTGTTGCTTCTTCTGGAGGCTTCATCATTTCGCCGGGTGCCTTTGCTGGAGAACTTGTCTTCTCCTGATTGCCGAAGGCTTCCCCTCAGTCCCTCACATGTCGAGGGCTTTCTGAGGGCCGTATAACACCTGTATGACCGCAGAAGGCTTTCCTCAGTCCCTCACATGTCGAGGGTTTTTCTGAGGAAAGCATAGATGTATTGCCTGCATGTGTTGTGATGAGGGCTGCTTCATTTCCGCAAGTGACTCGGGGAAAAATCTTGATACTCTGCCTCTGCCAAAGGGCGTGTTGAAGTATGCCTTTGCATGAGGATTTTTTGTCCTGTATGATTCCCGAGGGGTGCATCCCAGTCCCCCACTCCTTTAGTCCGAAGGCGAGTTCGGGCTGAAGGAGTTATGATGAGTTGACGAGCCCCCGAGGGGTGGTAACATTGATGAGTCGAAGGCTTATGCTGCTACGGGCTCGAAGGCGTTTGGTGGAATTCGTTGCCTGAAGGCCGCGGTGAGTGATAACCGGAGGCTATCATTCGGGGGCATCCCAGTGTTGCCGAAATATAGTCGTTGTAATATAGCCGTTGGGAGAGGGGTTGACGTGGCGTGTCGTCGTTGGCTGAAGGCGGGCGGCTACCACCCATTGGGCGATGAGGCGGCATGTAATGATGGGCTTTTAACCGGAGGCCCATGCTTCGAGGTTAACCGTGGTTGGGGAGCCTATAAATACCCCAAGCCGGAAACCATTTGCCTTGCGCATCCATATACTCTAGCGAAGCTCTGCCGAATTTCCTAGTGAGAGAAAGCGTTTCTTTTGATCAAACCCCACTCCCAAGGTTAGTTCTTCATCAGTTCCTCGTTTCTTTAGCATTCTCCGCTATTTCAGCTTTAGATCTAGTGTTAGCGGCTCTAGGGGTCCTTGATTAGTATTCTCTTTCCCTTATTCTGCTAAGAGATGTCTTCGGCGAGTGACTCTCAAAATGTCTCGGAGGAGGCCCCGCTGGTATCCGAAAGTATATCAGATGTGGAATCATCAAGTGGGCAGCTGTCGGCGATAAATGATCTCGCAGTGGCCGAAGAGGTCCAGGGCCAACTCCGCGCTGAGTTAGAGGCGGAGGAGTTTGAGCAGGTAGCGGAAGATGAGGAGATGGCCCTCGCCCTTCAAGTAGCCGAGGAGGAGGAGGAAAAGGAGAGGCAACGGGTGACCATTGCCGTGTTGCCTTCGAACGCTGGAGAGGCGGGTTGCTCCCGTCCTCTTAACCCGAACCCTATCCGTGTGGCCTCCGGGAAGAAGAAAAAGCAGAAGGCGAATGGTCCCCCCAAGAAGAAGAAGGCTGCCGTCGATGCAGGACAGCCGGTAGGAATCCCCGAGGGCCACTCATACCTCAATACCGACGCGCTTGACCTGAAAACAACCGCTACGCCCACGGATTGCCAAACCATGCAGCTCCTCGTGGGGCCCTCGGCTCAAGTGGTGGAGCCGGGTCCGGAGGATTTGTTGTCCAGCCCCCCCGAGGGTTGCTTTGCCGTCCACGTTCTTTCGGTGGAGCTAGGCCTCCGGTTTCCGCTCCATCCCTTTGTTATGCAATATCTCCGGTTCGTGGGCCTTGCTCCTTGCCAGTTAACCCCCAATAGCCATTCATACCTAACGGGGTTCCTTTCACTGTGTGACTCCCGGAGGGTGGAGCCTACGCTGGATCAATTTTTCTTATCCTTCAACTTGTGCCGAGGGGGGGGCCGCTAATAGTGAAGGTTTCGCCAACCTCCAACAGCTGCCGGCATGGAGGTTGTTTTCAGAGGTGCCCTCGTCCCATAAGGGATGGAAGGACCGATTCTGCTACCTCCGGGTGATGGGAGCTGATTTCCCGAGGCCTCTCCGCAATCATTTTCGGAGGCATCCCAAAGTTGGCAATGCTGCTCTCGAGGGCAACGGGAAGAAACTGAAGGCGAAGCCTCCGGGCTCGGAGAAGCTTACAACAATCAAGGCTGCCACGCTCCCGGAAAAGTTGTTCAAACTGGAATTCTGGCGATATCGTCTGCCCGGGGAGAAAGACGAGAGATACCCCGTCATCGATCGAGGTTACCAAAGCGCCGGAGGTTGTTGCCGAAGGCTCTTGGTTCTGATACTTAGAAAATTTTTGCTTCCGTTTTGCTTTGATTCTAATCCTTCTCTGCTCTTTGCAGGTGTTATTATGGATCCGAAAGCTTTTGCAAAGCTTTCCAAACAGTTGGCCAGAGAGAAGAAGAAGGACGAAGGGCTCCCAACTCAAAGGGTTGTAGACGAATTCTTCAAGAAGCCGGAGGGGGCGAAAAGCCGCAACGGTGAGGGGCCCTCACAAGCTACTGTTGACGAAGGCTCCAAGGCCGTGGAGCTTAAAAGAAAGAATGCCGGAAAGGGCTCCAAGCCTCCGGAGAAGAAGCAGAAGAAGGGGGACGCGGAGCAGGACGCCCCCGTCATCACTGTGGAGGAGAATTCATCATCCGAGGCTCCGGCTCAGAAAGTCGGGGTGGCCTGGCCTACGGAGGATGTCAATTTCTCCGTGAAGAAGGGGTGTGCCATCATGCACGGCACACTGGACCCGAGAGAATTCCTGAGGGGAACCACCCCTCCAACGGATAAATCTGTGCTCTCCCGGCAGAAAACCGGTCCCCTCGGCTCCAAGATCTTACAAGCTGCTGTCACCGTAAGCTTTCCTGCTCTATCTTGCTTAGTTTGTTTAGACTCAGTGTGGTTTCATGCAAGCAATTTTAACCTATGTTGCCTTAATCCCGCAGGCTGCCCTCGGTCTTGGTGAGCTTATGCAGAGGATGGAACAATCTGATCTGCAGAGGGCTAAAGCTGCTGAGATCCAGAACAAACTGGAGGAAGACAATGCCGCACTCCGGAAGCAACTGATGGAGGTCGAGGCCGCCCTCCGGCTGGAGAAAGATAATGTCCAGAAGAAGGTGGATGATGCTCGAGCCCTGGGGAGGGGCGATGGTCTGGAGGCTGCCGCCGCTACCATCAAAGCTGCGGCCGAGGAAGCGGAGAAGGCTAAGGCTGAGGCCGTTGCCAAGGCTGAGAGAGAAGCGGTAGCCGTCTTCCTTTCCGACGGGTGGAAGGCCGAGGACCAAAGACAGTGGAGGGCCTCGGTTGTTGAGGCTTCGGTGGAGGACTGGGTTGGAGGCCCCGGAGCATTATGGCTCGCCCGAAAGGGTAAAAGTTTTTATGAGGGCGGTGAGTTCTTCACGCAGGCCAACCTTTACCGGAAGCTGGCTCGTCATTTTGGCGTGGAGCCGAAGGAATTCAAGCCCGAAGCCTACGGTCTCCCACCCCTTCAGCCAGACGTGAGGATTCCCCTTCCTTCCGGCGAAGAGAGGCAACTGTTGGAGGACTCGGAGCTAGCTCGGTGCGATGATGATGATGAAGGAGATGCCGATGGCGATGCTTCCTCCAGGCCGAAGGAGGATGTAGCTGAAAATGCTTAGGCTTGAAACTCCTTTAAGCACAACTTGTAATAGATAAGTAGGCTCTCGGCTCCGGCCTCATATTGTAAACAAACATCCGTGTTGTACTCTAATACTCTTTTTTTTTTATAAATATGCTATGCCTTCGGGTTTCTGTGATATGTTCCCTTGACTGTTGACGAATGTATGCCTTCGTTTCTTTCTGTTTGTGTATGAATGCTTTCCTTCGCTTGGATGAATGTATTTTTTTTTGTCTGGCTTCCCGGAGGCCACCAGTTTGTTGACTTAGGAAAATTTTCCAAGTACAACTTGATCAGAACCCTTCGGATGTAGAGTAGAATAGCCGGGGGTTGTTGTTGTGGACTTAGAAATCTTTCTAAGTGTAAACCCAATCGTGAGCCCTCGGCCGTAGCGTAGGACCATCGGGGGGCTTGAAGCTGTGGACTTAGAAGATTTCCTGAGTAAGAACTTAGATCATGTCCTCGGTGACTAGGCCCTCGGTAGTGGCGAGCCTCCGACCGTAGTGTAGCATTAGGTTATTGCCAAGTAGATTAGGGGGCCATCGGCTGCACGAAGGTTGGTGAAGATAGTATCCCGGTTTGCCCCCGAAGGGCTTCCCCATCGTGGACTTAGGCAAATTTCCATAAAGCTTCAATAGGTGCCGTAGCGGACCTTCGGGCGTGAGAGTTGCTTGGGCCCCCGGTGTGTACAGTTACCGAGGGGTCCAAGATTATGGACTTAGTGAAATTCTGAGATTTGTTGAGATCGTTTGAATGAGCTTGGTGATCCTTCTTCCCTTGGCATGAACCCTCCGGTTTGTGTAGGTATAGATTTAGCTTGCCTTAGAACTGTGTGTAGCCTTCGGCGTGGCACATAGTTGATTTTGATCCAGGCAAATTTCGGCCTTAGCCAAATTTAGGTGAAGTTTTGCTTAGTGAGCCCTCTTCTTGGGCCTCCGGTGGAATTCTTGTACTCCAAGGCTTCATGTAGTGAAGCCTTCGGCTATGTAGCCAGATGACTTGTTGTTGAGGGATTTTATTTCGTCTTTGTAGGATCCTTCGGGAATACGTATCCGAAGTGTTGAGACTCCGAGGAGAATAGTATCCGGGGAGTTCCTTCCCCCCTACACATCTTTTTTTTTTTTTTTTTTTTTTTTTTAGATGGTGTAGGAGAGGCATCTAGAAACTTGGTTTCTAGGGAAGGCTTGGCCTATACGGGAGGCAACGGAACAAACCGTTGGCTCCCCCTTCGGGAATGACCTTCCGATATCCCGAAGGGTTTGAGGGTCGTTTCCTCGGCCCGAGACATCGTCTGTTGCCTGCTTCCCCTTGGGAGATAGCACGGAAAGCGCCTCGGTTTTGAAAGTCGTCCCCTCAGCCCGAGACATGGTCTGTTGCCTGCTTCCCCTTGGGGGATAGCGCGGGGAGCGTTTCGTTTGTGGAAGTCGAATCCTGGGCCCGGGACATGGTCCGTTGCCTGCCTCCCCTTGGGGGATGGCGCGGAAAGCGTTCCTGGGAAGGGTTTTATTTGCGTGTGGAACACAAATAGCCGGGGGCACTTGGTACCAGCCGGTCAAGTAGGGGTGTTGCACCCCCCGATTTTTTTTTTTTTTTTTTTTTTAGGAGGAGAGAATATGTATAAGTATGCCTAATGTATGCATGATTGCGTCCTCGTGGGGTACGGCTTAGTGAGAAAACACTTGGTGTTTTCAAAGAGTGATGGGGGTGACCCATACGTTTGGTACTTGGTACCTAAATTGTTGTTCCCCCTCATCAGAGGGAGAGGCCTTGGGCCTATTTTGGTGGAGAGATGAGGGCTTGGCCACCCATGTGTAGGAGAGAAGGGGGGCCTTGGGCCGTTTGTACAATATGTAGGTGATGAAGGCTTGGCCTCGTGATTATTCTTCAAAAACAGATGGGGGCCTTGGGCCATTGATATTTACACTTGCTGAGGGTGAGGGCTTGGCCGCTCACTCCTTATTGATAGAATTTGACAAGGTGGTGCACATTCCAATGTCTAGGGACCTCCGTCCCATTGGGACGTTTAAGCTTGTATGTCCCTGGTTTGATGATGGCTGAGATGATGTAGGGGCCTTCAAACTTGGGCGCCATCTTTCCTCCTTCGGTGGGTAGACTGGCCTCCCTTCGTCGGAGGACGTAGTCTCCCACCTGGAATTCCCGGGAGCGGACCTTGGCGTCGATGTATCCTTTGACTTGTCTCCTATAGTTTTCGGCCTTGAGGAAAGCTTGCTCTCGGCGTTCCGAGATGAGATGAAGGTCGAGGGCCATGTTGGCCTCGTTGGCCTCGGGCTCATATTGTTCCACCCTTCGGGTGGGAAGGGTCACTTCTGTTGGAGCCTTTGCCTCAAAGCCATAGCATAGGGAGAAAGGGGTTTCACCTGTTGCACGCCGAGGGGTGGTGCGGTAGGCCCATAGGATGTTATGAAGCTCTTCTACCCAGCCTCCCCCTTCGGCTTCCAGCTTTTTCTTCAATCCTTCAAGTAGGGTTCGGTTGGCGTTCTCCACTTGCCCGTTGCCCTGAGGGTAGGCAACGGAAGAGAATGTGTGTTTGATGCCCCAAGCCTCAAGGAGGGCACAGAAGGGGGCTGCCTCGAATTGAGTCCCGTTGTCGGAGATGATTTGTTGGGGGACGCCAAACCTTGTGAGAATGTTCTTGAGGACGAAGTGACGGCACCGGGCCTCCGTGATGCTGGCGAGGGGCTCGGCCTCTACCCACTTTGTGAAGTAGTCAATGGCCACAATGATATACCTGTTGTTGGAGGTACCCCTCGGCAGAGGGCCTACTAAATCAATCCCCCATCTGGAGAAGGGTATAGCGGTGCTGATGGGAGCATAGTTGACCGCTGGTCTGTCGGGGGCCTTCTGAAAGTGTTGGCAAGCGGTGCACCTTCGGGCTAGATCAGCACAATCTCTAGCCATCGTGGGCCAGAAGTAGCCCTGAACTATGAGCCTTCGGGACATGGAGAAGGGTCCCTGGTGAGCTGAGCAAGTGCCACTGTGCACTTCCTCCATGGCGACTTCGGCCTCATCTTGATGAAGGCACCGAAGGAGGGTGCCGTTGTAGGATCTCTTGTAAAGCCTCCCGTTTTCGATGGCGTAGCTGGGAGCCCTCAGTTTTGTTAAATATTGCGCGGGCTTCGTCTTGGGGCAGTTGCCCTGTGTTGATGAAGGCGATGATGTCGGAGATCCAATCCTCCGGCCTCAGGTTAATGTTCATGACAGGGCTTGCGTGGATGCTTGAGAGGCTGAGTTCCTCAATTCTTGCAATTTTTGAGAGGTGCTCGGGGGATTCATCCGAGAGCTTGGATAGGATGTCGGCCTTAGAGTTTTGAGCCCTCGGTATTTGGGTAAGAGAATGTGCCTCAAATACCTTAAGCAACTCCTTGGCGGCCTCCTTGTATTGCTTCATTCTCCCTTCTTTGGCTTCGTACTCCCCGGAAATTTGACCCACAACAAGTTTGGAGTCACATTTGACGTGGATCATTTTAGCCTTCAGATTCGCTGCCAGCCGAAGGCCACAGAGGAGGGCTTCGTATTCGGCCTCGTTGTTGGAGACTTTGAAGGAGAAGCGGATGGCATAATATGCGCGGAAGCCCTCGGGTGTGATCAGGACTACCCCCCCTCCGCATGCTTTGGTGGCTGAAGAGCCATCGGTGTAGAGGGTCCACCATTCGTCAAGGGGTGCCGAAGGCTCCTCGTCAGTTGCTGATCTCGCGGTGCATTCCGTCACGAAGTCCGCCAGGGCTTGGCCCTTAATGGCAGGCCTCGGACGGATATCTATGTTGTACTGACTGAGGAAGATGGCCCATTTCACCATTCGGGAGGAACTTGTGGGGCTTCTCATGAGGGCACCGAGGGGTTGATGTGTGAGCACTTGGACCGGATGAGCTTGAAAGTAGTGGCCAAGCTTCTTGACGGTCCAAACGATGGCTAGCACCGTCTTCTCGACGGGAGAATACCTGAGTTCGGCCTCCCGGAGGGTTTTGCTGACGTAGAAGATGGCGTGTTGGACGCCGTCCTCCTCTCGGATTAGCACTGAGCTGATGGCAGCAGGGCTAACACCAAGGTACAAGTACAAGGTCTCCCCCACCTTCGGTTTGGAGAGCACCGGGGGAGAAGAGAGGTACTTTTTCAGTTCGTCGAAGGCCTCTTGACACTCAGATGTCCATTGGAAGCCAGCTGTCTTCCTCATGATTTGGAAGAAGGGGAGGGCCCTCTCGGCTGACTTAGAGAGGAATCGGTTGAGGGCCGCCAGGCGACCCGTCAACCGTTGAACTTCTTTGACGTTGCGTGGGGGCTCCATGTTGATGATGGCCTGAATTTTCTCGGGGTTGGCCTCAATACCCCTTCGGCTGACCATGTAGCCTAAGAACTTTCCCCCTTGCACGCCGAAAGTGCATTTCTTTGGATTTAACCGGAGGTTGAATTTTTGCATGATGGCGAAGATTTCCCGTAGGTTGTCGGCGTGAGTGCTTGCCTTCTTGCTTTTGACGATCATGTCGTCAACGTAGGCCTCCATGGTGCGTCCGAGGACAGCTTGAAAGACCCTGGCCACCATCCGGGTGTAGGTGGCGCCTGAATTTTTTAGGCCGAAGGCCATCACAAGATAGCAGAAGATACCTTCGGGTGTCATGAAGGCGGTTTTTTCAGCGTCTTCCTCATGCATGTAGATTTGATGATATCCGCGGAACGCGTCGAGGAACGACATGATCTCGCATCCCGCGGTTTCATCCACCAGTTGATCAATGTTTGGCAGAGGGAAGGGGTCCATAGGGCACGCCTTATTCAGATCAGTGTAGTCCACGCACATGCGGAAGGTAGGAGGCTTCTGTGCGAGGACTACGTTTGCCAACCAAGAAGGGTATTTCACCTCCTTAATGTGTTTGATGGAGAGGAGCATAGATACCTCCTTCTTCACGAACTCCCTTCTCTCGGCCGAGAGGGGTCTTCTTCGTTGCTGCACTGGTTTGGCCGAAGGGTCCACCGCCAGGCGGTGGGTGATAACCCTTCGGTCAATTCCTGGCATGTCCTCCGGCCCCCATGCAAAAACAATGGAGTATGCGCGGAGGGCCTTGGTGATGCCAGCCTTCAGGTCTTCGGGGAGCTTG